TGCCCTTGACTTTCGAAAATGAATTCGAAAAATTTGTTCTGGTTTTTAGAAAGCTCAAGATTTCTTTAAAATCAAAGTGGGGTGTTACAGCTCCTGTCAATGGATGCGATACGAGTTGGATCCCAGGGTTATCTGATCCATGGAGGAACAATGGATTCTCTTCACGATTTTCTGAATCAGCGCTTGTTCTGGTGTTCAGAAGTGGCCACGCGTTATTGTTGAGGCGATTCGCCATTGAAGACCTCGTCGAGCTTCAGAGAGCTTGACCTGCTCGTGATACCATGTAGAAAATGAAAATATCTGATAATTTGCCCAAAAACCACAATTTCATTGAAGACGCGGTTCACTTAAGTAGCCCGCTCAAATTCGAAAAATTACAAACACAATACGACACCGTTTGGAGTAGTAAGAAAAACACAATTTTGCACAGGAAACAAAAATAAAAAAAAAAATATATATTCTTCAACTCGTAAACTAGCCGAACCAAAGTTCTTTTAGATTTTTAGGCGAGCCAATAAAGACCGATCCGAGTATCAAAAGTTTGAGCTTAATTGACTCGTTTACAACTCCAAGTTAGTGATTAGATTAATTACCTGAATTATTTCACTAAATAAAAAAATTAGTAATCATGTAATAATTATTGATGTATTTTCACGTTGCTATTTTTCAAGCTTGTGAAATCAATTTTATTATTTGGACTGAAATAAAAGAAATCGACTGTGAACAAATTTCATGTATGTACATTGCACACAGTTTTAGGAGATTATAATCATTGTTTTGAGTAATTAATTATCAAAAATGTTGTTGAATTTGTATAGTTCATATATGGATCACAAAAACATTATTGTACAAAATGTGTATAGATCACGGAATATAATATTCTGTCTTTTAAATTTTGAAGAGTGAGTTAAATGCACCTTAAGTTTTCAATTCATTTTTATTTTTATGTTTTGCATCAATTGCAATGGGAGCTGAAGTGAACTCAAACACACTTTTTAACTTATTATATTACTATATTGTTATTTAATTTTACTTTTATATACAAATAATTTTTATGAGAAACCAAACAACATGTGGGGGAGTAAACGAGCCGAGCTGAATTCGAGCTAATAATCGAGCTCATTTATCAATATTAAAGAGTAGAACCCGAGCTAAAATCGAGCTTTAACAAACCAAATCATAAAATTACATAAAAATCATCTTTTCAAGTCTTATCGAGCCGAACGCGATCTTTTATATAGGCTCGAGCTCGAACTCAACTTATTTATCAAACGAGTCGAGTCAAAATCAAGACTTAACAAATTGAGTCAAGCCAAACTCACGATCCACTTGTTTAATTTAACTAGCTTGCAGACTAGTAGATGGATGGGGGATCTCGATCCCGAGCAGGCTCAGTATTCTACTCACATAAAACTAATATTTATATACTCACACTCTTATAACCTATCATCATCAATCACTATTCCATTGTTCCTGTATCACAACCCATATTACTTAATTAGTTGTTACATCTCCATTTTACATTACTCATAATTTTCAAATTTTCCCCCCAAAAATTTCCATCTCATCTCTCACTGTCAAAAGATGAACAAAAAGCAGCTGCCGTCGAGATGGCAATAACAAAGTTGCGCTCCGTCTCGGATTTCACATATATCACAAGCGTCGTCAAAGAGAAAGCATACATTAGTGTTTACCCAACATTTATCCCATAACTTTCATGCCGTCAAAAATTGCACAAAATCGACACTTATTTTTTTCTTTTTTGGGGGTTAATTTCGACTGTTGTATTTGTGATACTGCCATCCGTCCTGACACCCGATTTCGCAATCCTCAAAGCATACAGTAAGCCACGGCCTCATCTCACATACCGCCACAAAATCCCCCTTCTCCACCAAGCAAGTACCACCGGCCCCGAGCCACCTCAATCCACGGAAAAACGGCCTCTCCATTAGCTGCACGACCCTACTGGAAAATCGCACACAGTGACAGATATCGAGCCTTCTAAGAAGGCACTTCCCTTCTCTCCTTCCGGAAGCTAGAGCCTCAAAAGAAGCATCCGTCACATGAAAGCAGTATCTCATGCTCAGCTCGGTCAATGCATCCGCTCTAGACATAATCCCACAAACGCCCTTATCTGACATACCCGGCATGTGGCCCACATCCAGGGACAATAACGTATTTTTCATTTTCAAACCATCATCGAGCAGAGCAATAATTCCCCGGTCGGTTACCCTCAAGCAACCTCTCAGGCATAGATTGGTCAGAGGCAAATCGCCTTTTCTCAAATAGCGAACAAGACCATTATCCGTAATATCGGCTCCTCCTAAATTAATTGACGTGAGTGTGTTGATATGCGATACATAATCGAGACACCGGTCGGCTATACTCCGGCAGCTAAATGTGTCCAAGACTTCCAATGTGGGAGATGAGGCCAATTCTGACGCAGTCTCGCTAGTTATGAGATTGCACGACCTTAGTCTCAGCTCGACCAGACGGGACAAAACCCTAAAAGTGTCATGAAACGCCAGGTCAGACAGTAACGGCGCGTTTCGTATTTCGACGCTCTTAAGACCACGGCAGGTTTGCATGAGGTACGAAAATCCGGCATCCGTGACTTTAGAGAACCCGCCGAGCCGCACGGACTCGAGGGCCCCACAGTTCCCAGCAAGAACCAACAGCCCCATGTCGTTTATTCTCTTAAACGAGACGGGATAATGAAATCGAGACCGGATGATCGAGAGATGAGTTAGGTGCCGGCAAGAGCCCAAGGAGAGGAGCCCGTTATTGGTCAGGTCGTGCGGGAGTTTCGGCTCCGAGCGGGGTCTGTCTTCGAGATCGAGCTCGACCAAGAGAGAAAGTGAGCTGGCAATTGAGAAAGTGAGTGTGTCGGATATAACATTCAAGACGAGCGAAAGTTTCGTGATACCAGTGATCGTCGTTTTTCTTTGAATTCCTCTATTGTCAATGAATTTTTCAAGAAACTGACAGGTGTCGCGTTCGTTCACTGGCTGCAACTTCAGGAATTTCAAACTTTCGGGCAGGGGAAGGTCAGCACAAGACAAATCACATGGATCATGTTCCATCACACGGACTTTAATGCTTAGATTCTGACAGAAATTAATGGATTCCGCTAAGTTGGGTTTGAATCAATTGGTGAAATGTCATGAAATCAATCGGACAATTGCTATGTGATATTGTACCTCCAAAAAGAGCAGATTCCGCAACATTTTCACAAGGTATCTCCTAAGGATTTCAGGCGAGCCCTCCCCTGCTAGTTCCAGGACAAGAGCCCTAATATAAGAAAAGAGACTCAGTACCATAGAATCTAAACCCGGTGGTCATTACTCGAAAGTGTTGACAGTAAAAAACTTAGGAATTTGAGTAGAGCATGCAGATTTTACCTTAAATTTGGGCATTTTTCTCCAATGGAAGCAAGAACATGATACGAAAGGGAGGCACCCTTGAGCAAACTCAGCTCTCGAATGTTGGGTCCAAGAATGCTGGCGATCGAGCAATCATCCAAGTGGAGACAGTCAATAGTCACACTCGTAACAGCTCCCAATCTGGGAACCATGAGACGAACAAGTTCACCATCGGGCGAAAATGCCTATCACCAAACAAATACCCAATGAATGAGCATCCCCTTTCTTCCGTATTCACATACAACACCACTATACCAGAACAAGATAACTTGTTTATCAATCAAAATCACTAATAAAGTGTTCACTATCACAAATTCACCAAGCCAATAATTAGGGATATCTATCTAACAAATAATTGGGGCTGTCTGTATGCATTTAGAGGCAGTTTTAGCAGTAATCTGTATAAATTATATGCCAAAGGCAAAATGCCCAAAACGAACTAAACAGTTCACGCAAAGCAAATGAGCAAAATCAGCTCTCAGAAACTATGAAACTTTTAAGGTTCAATAAAAGATAAAACTAGTCGCTAAACGAGAGCTTACAGATAGATCGAGCGAGGGGAGAGCTGCAAGGGCTTGAGAGGCCATTGAACGGAGGGGACGACACACACAAGCCAGGGTACATAGCGACTCCAGCTCCAGTCTCCGGAAAATTTCGCCGACGGTGATGGCGTCCGGGAGAGGAAAGCCGTCTCTCGGCGGCCCGCCGCGGCCGATTGCCGGCGACGTGGCTGCGGTCTCGGCGCGGTGTCTCTTGTCGCAATTTTTCATGTCAAGCGACACTAAAATCCTGCCAGAGAAGCGACTTTAGGTGGTATTTTTTTTGAAATAATTTGTTCTTTTTTTTTTCTCAAGTTTATGAAAAATTTGTTCAAATCGAGTTATTTTAGTTAATTATAATTAATTTTGACAAAAATGATATGGTTAGTTGTAATGGAATTTTAAAAATGTATTAAAATAATATTTAAAATAAAATGATTAAAATTGATTTAATATAAAAGTAAGAGATAAATGATTGCAAATAATAACTACTACCTCCTATTTTAAATAAATGTCGTTTTGGGATGTTGCACATCTATTAAGAATATTTTTTTTTTGTCAATAATAACCTTATTTAATGATGATAGAGATGAATGTTTTGAGAAAAAGATGAAGAGTGATTATGAAAAGACGTGATGCATTTATTAGCTAAATGTGGGTAATAATGGAAAAATATGTACAAAATATCCAAAATGACATTTATTTAGCAAATAGTTGATAAAGCTAGAATGACATTTAAAAAAAATAGGAGGGAGTGGTTAAAATTATGTGAGTGAATGAATAATGAATTAAAGTCGATGTGATGGGTAAGAATGATTGATTTATATTATTTAATTTTATGAATAACTAGTACAACGCCCGTGTATTATACGGGTGCTTGCTAATTTATTTTCTTAAAATCTAAACTTAATGAGAAAAAGTAGTTGAAAATTTAAATACCTTTTATTACAATATATATATTATATATTTAGTATGACACTTTTTTATTTATTTGACTTACTTGTGTTATATTATAATAGTTTTTTTAACTTACAACATATAACTACATTAAACATAAATATATCAACTGAGAAATAATTTTATTTTTCTAATAAATTTTAATAAATATTATTATTTTTTATTATTATAAAGATAAATATAATTTATTTATTTTATATATACAATATGGATGTCAAATCGAAGATCATGAAAAGATGATTAATTTGATATATTATATATGTAAAACAGATAAGAAACACAAAAGTTATCAACTTTTAAAATACATTTATTAATTGAAGGAAACAAATCAAAAGTTAGGGATATATTAGTCACTTAATGTCTCACTATGTAAAATTACAAAGAATTAAATAGTTATATTAGTACAAATGATATTAAAATACCTAAGTTAACTATTTAATATTTATGGAATGACCGAACCTAGATTATTAGTTATTAATATATCAATATTATTTGTCCAAACCTAATTCCGAAGCATGATTCTTTGCCAAGTAGGATTCCGAAGCACCAGAAGCAGCCACGTAGGCTCAGCGCATTCGGGAATTATATATAAGGAGGATATTAAAGATAGTGAGTTGGGTTAAAATTGAGTTAAATTTTAAGTTGAAATAAAATTGAGTAAATTATTTTGTATACAAGCAAGCTTAGAGCATGTTTGTGTACAAAAGTTTTCACTCAGAAATTTTATTCAACTCAAAATTTAATAAATTTAATTTCACTTCAATATTCTTAGTATTATCAATATGATTAAATAATATCATTCAATTATTTTTACACATCATATCTTCTTTAATTCACTATTCATCTACTCACATAATGTAACTAACCATTACTTCATATCATTTATCTCCTACATTTACATCAAATCAATTTTAATTATTAATTTTAAATATTATTTTAATATAAATTTAAAATCTCACTAACATCTAATCATACCATATCTATCTAAATTAACAACTAAAAAAATCATACATTTTATTTTACTTCTTATCCGCATCAAGTTTATCGCTTACAATTTTTAAAACAAACATAATTAATATTATGCATTTCTTTATAAAATATATTTTTCTTCTACGCATATACATACTACCAGTCCCACTCATAGTTTTTCAACCGGGACTGGCCGGCGAGTCGATCTAGAGCCCCAACCAGCCC